TCTTGATGAAATGAATACGGGAATTTGATGAAAAAACTGTAAGGTAGAAGCGTTGGATAACGCAGATACGAGAAGACACTATTATTTTGCAGTATGAAAGTATATTTTGTAACTGTAGTATGTTTCTCGAAAATAGAAGTGTACACATTACATAAGTTAATTAACACATTGTTAACCGATCACGAGTTGACTCGTGTTTGTACTTGCATTAGCTATTTCTACCTTTGAAACGCAATACAGAATATTGCAAAAGCAAAATGTTCAAAGCTATATAAGACATATTGTATGTCGAATCTTTCATGTCAAGTCAGTATGTATAAATAAAGCATATTGAAACTGATTTAGATTTTTCCACTTCCATATTTAATTACGGAATAATAACCGGTCACATGGGATATTAACAACGTGTTAAAACCAGAAAATCAGTATGAATGGAATGGTATGTTTTTCGCTTTTAACAATGGAACAAGTAAAGAAACAGTATGGAGCAAAGTACCTGATGATCTAATTATATATTTCTGTGATTACATCCGTCACATGTATGCTTGCACGAATATTTTCTTGTTGTTTACATTCTAAATATCTTCATGTGTTGTGACACTGCTTATTCACACAAATGCTTAAATTTTCGCTTGTTTGCTTCTGTAAATTAATTCGTTCTATGATTTAATAACTAAATCTCGGGATTACAAACAACGTGAGTAGAAGGAACCATTAATAAGCTATTCAATTTGAACTAAACACTCTATTAACCCTTTGCACTCGAAAGGTATTCACTTGAAATATTCAATACTTTCTAATTAGATGTAGACAAGATCCTTTAGGATTAAATTACCAAGAAATCACACATAAATTAGGGAACAAAGCTATTTTCTGTCAAATTTCACGTATTCACGCAGTATACAAAGGTTAATGGTAAATACGAAAGTTTATAATTTTATTGTACAAAATCGTCTGGCGACTGGGAGTCACGTATCGAGTGCAAAGGGTTAAGTCTGTGAATTATAGACCAGTTTTCAGCTGTGAGAAACATTTAATGGCTTACGTCTACCCAGTAAGGGTATCACTTACCAGGCCATTTAGCCAGGCTTTGTGAATGTCACTATGTTCGTTTTGCCAAAAATGGAAGTAGAAGTATCTAACTCTATAGTCTGTGGTCACAGTAAGGATTCGGTGAATTTCGGAAAGACGGATTATAGACAGCCTAAGCGCTTAAGTATGTTGGAGTAATTCCTTAACAGACATAGTATGCGGGTTAGGACTCTGGCTCAGAATCAAGCTGAACAGTTGCTTCATCTATTACAACCGAAACAATTAGTCATCCAATTAGTGCGTCTATATTTCAAGTTGATTGAGGCAGTGTTATTAATGTTATTCCTAATCGAAACAATTTAAATAACTTCAATGCATTGTACGCAGAGGAATGCAACAATTACCCGCTTCAGCATAGATGTATTAAGAAATCTTTATTGATTGGTAGAATAATTATTATCATTGTCTGTTATTAATCTTCCGTTTGTTTATTAGTGAATTGTGTGGAATAATCGTGCAATATCGTAGGAATCTGAAATAATATTCAAAGAGAATATGAACTAGCTCTGAAAAATCTTGTGGTTTCATGTACAATTACTATCCTTCACACTTTTAACCCTTTATCAGTAAAAAATGACTGGTTCCGATATTTTTCGCAATTATTGATACCTTAAAAGCATAGAATACTCGAAATGGTTTTGAAAATAAATAGTTTCACTTGAATACTGTAATGAATGTCTGAAGAAACCGAAGATAATCTATTGTTACAACTTTTATAGGGATTACATAATATTACTGAATAAATAAGAGATATTATTTAAACTATCAATTACACAATTCATATACATGGTAACAAAATATCCCGCAATTATTGAATTCGCATTTAATACTTTTATTATAAACATCACTTCCTCGTTATTCCCACTTCAAAAAATAACATTTACAATTAATTAGCACGATTATCAGAAACATTACTTATTTCTAGCACATTTTCATCCATTTTCACTTCAATATTCCGCGTGTTGTTTTATTGCGTTCGAAAGAACGTGTACTGGTCTTGCAATGACTATAGAAAGTTACTGCAACACTACGTTCATTACACGAGGGGGTTGATAACGACTTCCAAGAAGATACGTCCAAGGAAATTACTCTTCGTTAAAAATGTTCCCTGCGTCGAGGACAACGAGCAATTTTACTTGAAAATTTCTCAACTCTTCGGAACTTTCCCCAAGGAAAGTTTGTTCGGGAAGGAAGGGGGCACCGCCGTATCTGGAAATGGAATTGTCCTGAAGCTGTCCGGAGCGCCAAATCAAACTGATTCGACCGGTCGAGGGACGAGGAGGGGCAAACGTCGAAGCTTTTCCTCCGGTCGCGATACAGATTCGGTAAATTACGGCGGCCATGACACGGAAACACTATCTCCATCGGGCAAGCCCTTCCGGATTGTAACGCAAACACCCTGAAAATTTGATGGGATCCTCGTCGCGGAACTATTAGACTATTGAAACTGTACGCTATCCCCGAATCACGGGAAAGGGAAATCCCCCTATTCGAATTACACGGTTGCGCTAATTTAAAGGTGACGCGTTGCCCTATTTACGCCTACGGTGTACACAGAGCGCGCACCGCCGCGTACTCTGACCCACTTACCTCAATTCTTTCGTTACCTTCAGCGCGAATCCCATTTCGCAACCGATACGACCACCGTTTTCTAGTATTTTATGAACGAGCCTCTGCTATATGGCGGTACGTGCGGTTACCCATGAATTTGATGGATTAGATAGTACCGGTACAGTCGCGGGAACCGCGCAATCACTTAAAGGCATCGCCAAATTTTCGGGTACGTTCCACAGCTCTGTACGAAGCGAAAGTTCAGAATGCGTTTGAATTTATTCGGAAGTAATTATTGAAAATTATTTGAAATTTCTAATATTAAATATTTCTTAAGTATTCTGCTCGACACTGGAACTACCGAGCACTTAGTGCGATTAATATGTAGTCCCTATAAAAATTGTAACGACAGATTATTTTCAATTTCTTCAGACATTCAGTACTCAAGTGAAACTATTTTCAAAATCATTTCGAGTATTCAATGCTTTGAGGATAGAAATAATTGCTGAATAAAGAAATCGAGACCAGTTATTTTGACTGTTGTGGTAATTGCATGAATGTCATTGAATATCTGCAATACCTTTGATGATATCAAACATGTTGCAAGCAAAAGTTGAGTAAGGTCGAAGGACGTATAATTTAACGCAAGTAGTTTTTCTGTAGGTGGACACGGATGACGTTTGAAGATCAACTGTGCTTCTGTACATGGAATCATATATTAATACATTAGTCAACGTAGTTCAGCATTTCGTTCAAAGTACTGCATGATAATTTATAGCAGTAAATTATTAAGTTACGAAATATTTCAATTTAAATATTGTATGTAATTCTTGTTTATTTTCCTGTTTTATTATAAATTAATGTCATTTAGAATTTTCTTGGCAATTTTCTTTTAACTTCACCACGAACAGGGTTACATCATAAATGCTAAAACTAATGGTAAAAATAATGTTAATTAACTATTTGTCAATAATAATACAAAATAAAGAGAATGTCAGAGAACGTGACTCAATTTTGACTAAGCAAATGTAATCAACTAATGTCGCCTGTATAATACAAGACATGAAAGCTGAAAGGATGATCGCTGCGAACGGTTTACTACTAAAATGCATTTCTGATTACCTTGCTGGAGGTTTCTGTTGTTCGTCTACGAATGTTCCGTCCTAAGAATTGAAAAAATTAGATATTGGTCCATCCTCCCGCCTGTTGTACCCTAACACTCTCCTTGAAAATGGATTAGTACAAAGCTACCGCTATTCTAAGGGTGATTTCGGTTCCCCAGGACTTCCACAAAGCCTGAAAAATGTTGGTCTATGACCTGGTTCCCCATAGGTCCATTGTTTTATTATAAGGACGACCCACTTCCTCTGGAATGCCTGCAAGTGGAAGTCTAAAATTTTCCGATAGCTCTCTGAGCATCGTAAATTTTAAAATTACTCTACTCTTCCCCAATTTCGGTACAGCTAACACGCGTGCTATCTAACATCGCGTTTAAATTATTTTCAAGTGATCAATCTTTAGCACTTTCCTATTTTGCGACATTAATGCGAATTGAACTATTTCGAAAGAAATTGTTCGCATGATTTTAAATTTATAGAATACCGTTTAAATGTTACAAGCAGTAATACAAACAAGAATATTTGAACACAGTGAGAAACAAGTGATGATTAATTTGATGAAAAACATTGCTAAACCTAGAAGCATACATACTTCCGCATGGAAATAACGTTGCGCATGCTGTGCAGCCTTATCGATAAGAACTATTAGAAAACGTAATGATACGGAATATTCTAATTCTTATATTTTTCTCATTACTTTAGTATCTTGTTTCAAACATTTGTATATAATATACAAAAATCTGTAGCATCCTATTTAAGAATTTAAAAGTCTCTGTAAAAATATTAAAAACACAACATTTGAAATGAAAACTTTATAGAAATTATTAACCCTTTGCGAACGAATGTCGACACTTTGCCGAGACCAAACTTTCATATTTGTAATACTAAGTTGCAAACAAATGATTTGACTCCCCAGACAGCGAGAAACCAGTAAATAGTTGCCTTATTCAATATTATTTAATCATTCGATGTGTTTCGCAGAGTCTGCAGGTTTTGTATACTTTAAAGGATCTTCGTCCCCAAAGAATTAACTCATAGTCATATTTTATAACATTGTCATTTCGAAATAATGAAAATTTCATTTTCTCCGTATACACACCTGTCTAATAATTTCGTGAGCACCCTATATTTGTAATCAACCGTCCAACAACGTATCAATATTTATAATTGACAGTGTATATTTATAACTGTTTGATTTTAGACAAGTTTCTATTTAATGTAATGTCGTTCTTTTTGCAGCACGAAGACTGAACGAATACATCCACCACTATGAACCACTCTCCTATCCTACTGAAGAGATCCACCGGGGTCACCTGAGGGCCAAGAGGTCGGTTACCCGCGACAATTCTGTGACTCTGAAGTTTCGTTCGCACGGGAAGGACTTTCATATTCGACTGAAGCGGGACCTGACCATCTTTAGCAATAACCTAATTATCGAAGGCCCTTCCGGGCATTCGGAGGACCTCGAAACATCACACATTTACCAGGGCTATTTAGTTGGTGAGTCACGTTTTTGCAGAAGTTTCCTGAAAGCTCCGGGCAATTTTCTTCTATTTACGGAATGAAATAATTTTATAAAGCTATTTGAACTTCGTATTGCACACTTTTTACCTAATGAATCGGTTTTGAAACTTTACAAATTCCATTTGTTTCTTTACTTTTTTCGAGGAAGTTCGACAATTCTTAGTTCAAGTTTTATATGAGTATGGGCGATCATTGGTGGGTTGGCGAATTTCATACGTTTAACGGATAGTAAATGTCTGGAGTAAATAGAAGGAAATTTCTGATAAAATGGAACAAATCAAATAAACGTACCTCTGATTTTAGTCTTTCCGGATTAATTAAGGAAAAAGGAATTTATATTTTCGTTGATGATCTACCAACGAAGAAGAAAAATGCATTTTGGGATAGTTTGTGATTATTAGTAGATAACTGCTTAGATGTCGTATTGCTATTTGAATTTATAGTACATTCTGTTATTAATTTCGTAATAAATCACATAACAAACTTGATGATTATTGCTTGAAGTCAGTTAAAGTATTATTATCAGTTTTCAATGGTACATATTTAACCACGAAATAAGATAATATTTTAATACAAATAAATAAACAGTCTGAGCGAAATAATTACTTTATTAAATAACTGATGCGAGATGTCTGCATTTACTGAATAATATAATTAAATGCAATAACATTTTGGATGCGATTTTGTAGGTAAATACGAACTCGAAGCATTTAATATTAAGAAACACTGAAATACATGTATGCTAATTCATATGTGTAACGTTTCAAACAAATTAAATAACTAACTTTGAAACATCGTGTCAGTCAGTCGTATAATTACTAGGTACTATTAATTATAAGTAGTTACACATAATTCTCTTAGCTTTGTTCCCATTGTTCCGAGTGTTTTAAGAAACGAGGAATAATTTTTAAAGTTCTATTGTTAAATGATTAATTTCCATGGTTCAATCGTTACAATGTTAATATCTCTTAAATACTACAATAATCTATTAAAACTCGTATCATCATTCTCATTGTTCTTACCTAAATACTCTTCCAGCAAAACAATTACTGATCTTCGTAAGCTGGTATAATATGAAGTATATTTTCAGATTGTCAAATTGTAGGATCCTTCCGCATCATTTGTACTTTAAAGTTCTCTCCGCCTTTTCCCGCAGAATGTACTGCGTTGAAAGCACTAGTATGTGCAGAAAGAAATATATACCTTCTATTTCGTTTAAAAATACGGAGCAACATGGAAAATGGTTGAAACAGCAACGAGCTTCTTACGATATAAATCCTGATCTGCTTGCTTCTTAAGTGCGCGCTGTTACATTCTAAACTTTGACCTCAACGAGGCAGTACCGTTTCACTGTATAGTTTGCGCGTTATATCTACTCCTACGTTTCTCGCGATATCCAGGTGTGGCACGCAAAAGTGCGTGTCACGTTAGATACCGGGTGAGACCTTCAGTTCCAGTGCAATAATTTACCGAAATTGACGCGCGCAAAGGGACATTTTCGGCTGGGTGCTGGAACAGTTTATATCTTCCACTTTTGTGTTCGCCAACGACCTGATTACATCTGCGAAATAAAGATCCACCTCTTCTTAATTCGATCGTTTTCTCGAGATACATTTCAGACCTCTACAAGCATTTTTTTTCATGTGAAACGGAAATCATGAAATGTGAAGTTATTGTAGCAAGCAATTAATCTGCAATTTCTTAACGTTTATTATGGAAAAGACGGTTTGCAAGTTTATACTAACAAAGAGGGTATAATATTGAGGGTATAGTAATAATAATTTATAATTTGTTTTAAATTATAATTTTATTTTAGGAACACCTTTACATTCCAATATTTTACGTCTTTTGTGAGAAATTATTTTCCAATGGCCTATTTCTTCCTTCTGAAAATGTTTGTTTGATTTAATGTTTTCGTCGTCTATTAGGAATTTATTAATAGGTTCAGTATTATTTATATAAATTTGACAAAATAGTATTTAGTTATTTTTCTTGTATTTGTTGTCAAACTGTTTTAGCAACGCTTTGGTTTCCATAACGAAGGTCATAAAGGTATGTTATGTGAAAATAACAGCAAAATGATTATTCAAATAAAATGGAAACGGGGCGTTTATTACACAAAACTTTGCAATTATTGTATAAAGTTCATTGAAAAATTGAAATAAAGAAAAAATGTAAAGATAATATTTATATCTACCTTTTCGATATAAGTAACAGAAACTATCAATTACCATAAAAAAAACTTCTTCTATCTTGGCATTAAGCGACATCAGTAGTATCACTTTGACTACACATATAAAGCTTCAATTGTTCAATGAACTTCGTACTTAATTGATTTCACTAAAAGATTAAATGTCAACACATATAACCGATTAAAAGTTACATATCCTTTTCATTAAAATTACATCGCATGATATATCTCTCGGTATTTTCCTTTTTTAATCAATTTAACGTCTTCATTTCCATATTTTTCTAATGAATGCAATCAGTTCCAATTATTTAAGTTTCCCTTTTACCAGGAAGTTTCTGTTTCACTGATTTCTATAAATCGCAGTGAGATTTGTAGTTATTAGCTTGTAATACGCGCACACAATAGTGATATTGACATAAGCTTAGAGCTCGCGATCTATTGATCATTTCAATCGTGTGTATGTCACATATATAACAAGTTTACACGTTTAATCTACCCCATTCTCGTTTCGCCCGCGTTAATTCCGTGCTCGGCGGTCATTAATAAATATAATTTTTCTTTTCTTTCAGGCGAACCTGGCAGTCATGTGTTCGGAAGCATCAGCGACGGTGTTTTCCACGGGAAAATAATTTCGCCCCGCGGCGGCGCGTGGTACGTGGAAAAGGCGCACTATTACTTTCCACCGCACGAGATAAATGACACGCTACATTCTGTGATCTATCACGAAAATGACGTCGGCGATCCGTACGCCCATCTTCGGAAAGGTTTGTTGAATATCCGAGCATTATATTTCGAACGGAAACAATGCGCTGCGAGCATTCCTTACTAGAAGTTTCACGTAAATACACGAAGTCAGGTTTTCCTCGCGACTCTGTTCTGGAATTTATTCCCTCTGTTACTTTCGTTTATTAACTTGTCGTCTTACAATATCGTGGCAGTATTGCGATTTGAGATTTCAAACGGAATTTAACAAATATAAATTATAAACGTATTTAATTATTTTATGTTTAAATTAAGTATCGTTTTTTCTGTCAACTGTTAATCTTTAAAGTAATCATAAATATATGTAGAACGAGGAGATCTAGATGTAGACCTTTCTTTTTCTAGTAAATTATTAATGATAAAATAGTTCTAAGTACAATTACAAAGAAATAAAGCGAAGGATTTAATATAAACGAAATACACTATGAAGTACGGTGATTGTTAGTATGTTGGTGTTCTCTTTCTTTAACAGAGATGTAAATGTTATTGGTCAATGCGCCTTAGTCGATGAAATGTAGCAATAGTTAATACAACGTGGTAGTCAATCACTGTACGGTTTGTACATTGCAATTGTACATTGGTAATACATACAGAAATTAGATAAACAAGTCCCTAGGTAGTATACAGCCGATTTGGGAAACGGAATTAACAGTTCCTGAATAGGTAGTTTGCAGTTTACATCAATTCCATTTAGCGCTAATGTGAATAGGATACAGCAAATAAAATTACTGATATTGGGTTCTTGAATTGATGAATATTTGATGTAAAAATATTTCAAAGAACACGCACGCACATATTAAATAATAATATTAAACAATAGAACCTGTTAGCGGTTTATAGATAAACTGATCGAAAATAAACTAAATGTTCTATCGATAAGTAAATTGATGGTCTCCTTACAGCGACAGTGAAGAACAAATTAATTTTCTTTATTATTCCGAAAAAACTACTTAACATATTAATTATAAGTCTTAATATGCATTTCACGAATATGCAGTATTGTTTAAAAAATAGTTCAGTTCTTTCAATGTAATGTTTAACTGAGAGAATCTTGCAATACTGATAGGAAAAAACCAAGGCAATATTTCGAATTTTCAAAAGAATATCATTAAATAAGCCAATTACAAACCTTATTACTGAAGAATATACAGTATCGGTTTAAGTAAACGTATTCATTTATTCCGAAGTATAAATGAAACCAAAACAAAAGTCAAGGAATTTCTTAACGTACAGTGAAGAAACATCTGAAACAACATTTTCAACGTTTGCGACGATTTCGTGAATATTCATTTGGCCTTAGTTACAGCGATAAAAGAGTATCTGCTGAATATATTTTCGAAGTTTCAAATAAATTGCACAAATAGCTTACGACGTACCATGCCGGTCAATTACAAAAGTGTCGTTCTGGAGAAAGTTCGAAGTTTTACGTAGTTTTATATTGTATCAAAACTAAAGTACCATACTTACAGTTAATCAGCTGTGCCATCACCATAGAGTGCACCTCCTCCCTTCTCGTAGAGACCGTTTAAAGTAGCATTAGTTTTTCTTCGGACGATTCTCTCTTGCTCTGTCGCTCGATCGTGTTTTCTCTTGACAGCTATAATTCTCTTGGCGGTACGTCCAACGACAAAATTTAAAAGCAAGTTACTATTCCCATTGTCTGAGGATTCTTAAGAATAACGGAATAACCTTCATTTGGAATTATTACTACTGAATATTCAGACGTATGAATAGTCTTAATACCGCGATATAAATTCCTTTTTCTTCAGATCTCTTGATGACTTCCTACTGCTCTTTAAAATCTACATTATTTATTCTCTCTTCTCACATCTCATACATTTCATAATACTTTAATTTTAAAATTACTTTGTTCGCGAAGTTCCCAGCAACTTTAATAAGGCGTATTTCTAAACAACGAATATTATTTTCTCTTCCATGAACCGTCCCTCCGCAGTTACACTTATTTTTAATTCCTCTTTTTCGAATGTTTATTCTTTTTCTTATTTACAGTACACTTAACCCCTTGCGGACGAATACTCTTTAAAGTACGGAAAACTTGCAACATGTAAAGTTAAATTATACATCGAATGCTTAAACGATAGAAAAGAAGGGAACTGTACACTGATCTCTTACTGTTCGAGTAATTAAATCATTCGTTTGCAACTTAGTATTCCAAATATGTACATTTCAACTCACAGAAATATCGACATTCGACCGCAAAGGGTTAATGCTTGAATAAATAAATTTTCAAATGGGGATTACATTGCACACAGTCAAATTTCTTCAATTTATTTTAGCAAGTGGAAGCACTTGTCTAAATTCATACTTCGTGAAATGAAATTAACACGTTGACTGCCTCGAAAATCAGCGGTTTATATATCACTTATTCTTTCTATAGCAAAGATACAAAACAAGACTTATTAATTCTTTGATATGAAAATTCTTATATTACCCTATTATCTAGTTACTTACGTTACGGAAGATTTGTATTCGAAATCAATTATCTTCCAAGTCATAACTATTTTCTTGGTGACCGTGGCAATCAAAGTGTTAAAAGATTTGAGTAAGTAGAAGTGACAACTATTCATATTATTAACATATGGAAATATTAAATTCAATTGCATGTTAAGAACCTTACCAATAAGTAGATTAGAATTATTAAACATTTCATACGTATATATTCTTTTCAATAAATAATACATAATAAGAGACAACTTAAGAATAAATTTCTTTAATTACTTTCGCTAGCTCGATTCCAAACATTGTTCTTATGTCGAAAACAAAAACCAAACAACAGTGGATTCACTTAGAACTATTACAATTACAATATTTTCGTCGGAACAATTCTCGTTCGAGTTGTCTGGTTATTTTTGTATTTACAATAATCGATTTTGAGTATTATCTGTATAAATGCAGCAGATAAATATGGTGACCAAAATGACACTGGAAAATTATTCCAAATATATTTCATGTATTTCCGATGAAAGAATAGTGGCGAAATATTTATGGACCGTAGTGTATATATTGACTTTCCCAACTCTTCGAGTTAATTTAAAACCCTGAAGAATTTTAACTTTGCAATTCTTTATTATAAACAAACACAAGAAAATAAACATCGAATAATTTATGTTGTCAATATGGGCATTCGCCTCGTAATCGCAAATTCGGTAATCCAAATAAAACATCGAACATTTGAGATCGTTTGTAATATTCGTTCACGAAAATAAAACAAAGATAGAATAAATAATCTACTATCTGTTGTTTTAATAGATACGTAGGTTATTTTTGTTGCCGTGTTGCTTTCCGTGCTTTTTATTTCAACAAACACTAATCTTTTATACATACCTTTTCGTCAGTTTTGTACACTGTATGCAGTTTACTGGATTATAAAACGTGATCATTTGGAATTATTTTCTTGCACCTGAATTTCATTTTCATTGCAAAATTCTCAGTGACATAATGCAAGTTGAATGAACAAAGGCAACGTGCAAGAACGTCTGTATATAGGACGACTAAAAATATAAAGTGTCATTAAAAATAGGAATTAAAAATAAAAGAAACTACTATAATATTGCATATTAAAAATAGTTAACACGGAGGTACACAAAGAAATATCTTTCGCCTAGCTATAGTTACAATTCTCGGAATGAAAATAGCAAAGAAAGTTTCAAGAAATCATCGGTCTTTTTCTGTACTACGTTTTATTTCTTCTATCGGAATTCACTTTTAGCGAATTAAATTTAGAGTTCGTTATCGAAAATATCGTTAGATGGTTACGGATTTAATAGCTGCAGTTCAATATTTGAATAGTATTAGTTCAATATTTATAGTGGTAGTTCAATATTTCAATATATTTTGAAGAATGTGCACTCGTGCATTCACACGCGTGACAACAGACGAGTGAACAATACGATTTCACACTCGCAGAAGTTGTTCGCCTAATGACTGTGTCTTCCAAGCGATATACAGTATTTTAGAGATGCGAACCAACCGGGTACCGGTGGCTGCTGAGTCAGCGAAAGAAAGATGTCAAGTTTCTCGGTGCAGGTAGTCCTGTTTCGTTTAGGCAACTGTTGAACCATTATGCCCGGCGGAGTTTCCATAGATTCTCCGGATAGTTTGCGCCAACACAATCTTGACACAACGTTGTCCCGCGGCTCTGCATTTACACACTTGGATGGTCATTGCTTTGCCGTTCCTCCCCGTTTTGAACCATCGAATGACAGGTTAGATTACATTTGCGAGGCATCGTTAAAGGCGCATCCAGCCGTACACATGGTTTTTCACCGAATTACGTTAACACGTTGACGATGATCACCGATAGCCCGAGCTTCCAAATTACTTGAAAACATTTGTAACTCGTAAGATAACTAACGTCGAATGAAAATGTTCAATAGCGAAAATAACTGGATAATAGTGTAACTTGAGAATTGTGTTTCTAAATAATTTATAATTATTCTTTTTCATCTTTGTTGCAAGAAAATAAGTAATACGTAAAACGCTGAAATTTTTCGTAGCAGTCAACCTGTTAACGATGTATACCAGCATGCAGAAATAACGTCGAACTTTGGGGAGTAAGTGAAGTGCTAATACATTCGGGACCGGTGCAGTAATCTTACGTCAATTGAAACTCTTTAACCAGTTAACTGTGGAATTTAGTTTGAACAATCTCTCATTGTGCGCGCAATAATGTTAAGCAATGAAGTATATACTCGTCAAACACGGTTCAAATGTATCTTATAGGTACAATATATATATATAACGAATTATAACGAAGAATTGCACGCGTATCTGAAAAATAACTAATTGATCGTTGAGAATAATAGTATCATTTCGAGTTTTAAAATGACGCGTACACTCGTCAAAGGCAGTTAACTGGTTAACAGGATATCTGCTACGTAATCCACGTCATTTTGCATTTTTTAGCTGAGTACCAATAACGTAGTCCTACGTTATTTTAAATTCCTTGACGTAGTGCTATGTAGCTTTGAATTTTTTTCGA